GATGGCCGTTAAGTCGAGTAAATGAACCAATGTTTTCACGGAAAAAGACGGAAAAGTCCGATCAGCCAAGGTGCAAACAGCTACCACAATTCTTACAAGACCAGTAACTAAACTGGGTTTCTTGGAAGGAGAAAAGAAAGCTTAAATAGAGAAACTGAACCTGTTGTTAAGAAGAGTACAACGAAATTGAAAATCCATACTGTAAAAGGATGTACTTACTCTCGTGTCAGACAATACTTACGTTAAGTAATGAACTGTGGACTTCAGTGGTCCATTAGGGGGGCTATGAAGTCACGAGTTCTTTTTTAGCGGTTCTGTCGTTCATCGTTGTTACTTGTAATTAGTGTAAATAGTTCTCGACTGGATAGTTCAGTTCTGTATTTATTAGTTTGTATTTTTTCGTGCTGTCAAAATGTAAATTACGTTTGTCAGCGTTGTTTTATGTAATCACCTTTGAGTATTGTGAAACCATGTTTAGTCTATTGTTTCAGCCTTTATCCGTTATAGAAAGTCGCAGTTTGTAAATTTCATTCAGTCGTTGTTATTCCGGAGTGCGTACAGATCTTGTAAGTAGTTACGCTTTCGTTTGTATTTTTCTGTGTTTTTCGTATTCATCTCGTTGTATTTCAGTTTCCTTGGGTTTAAGTTGGCATTGTTAATTCTGCATTTTTCTGTGTTATGTTCAAGTGAATCGTTGGGATTAAAGGAACTCATTGAAACAGTGACCACCATATGGTGTTTGGAGAAATGATGGAGAAAGTCCACAAACACAAGACTCGCACTACTACTTTCCGGCAGACAAAAAGTACTGATTTCGAACAGCTTAACCGGGACTTGGAGGCTGCCCCCTGGCATGTAGGAGAGATTTTTTGTAATGTGGACGATCAATATGATTATTGGAAGGGACTGTTTGAGAGCGTTGTGGATGTTNGATCAGGAAAACTGAAGAAATCAAGCTATTAGGAGTAAATATAGACAAGAACCTTAACTTTACACAACACATTAGCGAAATATGCACTAAAGCCAGCCAGAAAGTAGGAGTCCTCATGCGCTTGCGTAACCTAATACCATGCCAAGCTAAGCTCATACTGTATAAAACAGCTATAATGCCACATTTAACATACTGTCATTTAGTCTGGAACTTTTGTAAATCTTCAGATGGGCGCAAAATCGAACGCATCCAAGAGCGAGCCCTGCGTGCGGTCTTCAAAACAACAACAGAGACATATGAGGAACTTCTTAAGCGTGCTAAGTTACCTACGCTTCATAATAGACGCTTACAGGACATAGCAACACTAATGTATAAAGTAAAGAACGATCTAGTACCCAGCTACATATCTGAGATATTTACTCGAAAGGGTACTCGTTATAACCTTAGGAATAGTGACTTTGAAATACCACGATTTAACACTATACGCTATGGTAAACACACACTAAGGTATCAAGGACCATATATTTGGTCCAAATTAGAAAATGGTATGCGTGAACTACCAAGCCTTAGTATCTTTAAAACTAGAATCCGTAGAGTTGACCTGGTAAGCCTAGTGGAAGACAGTGGCAACTGCTGCAATCTTTGCACCACGTGATTTTTTATTTTTTTTTATTTTTTTATTTTTTTTTTTAATTATCTGCATGGTACAAGTATTTTTATGTTATCTGAACACTGTTGATATTTCTAAATATTTTAAAATTTTAATGCATAGTTTATCGGCTGTATTGTTACTTATTATGATACTGTACATAGTTTTTTTTATTAATTTAGTAAAAGTAGGTGTCCCCAATTAGCTCTATGAGCTAAATACATTGACACGGTAATAAAGATTTTATTATTATTATTATTACAGTCTCAATAACAACTGCTGCTTTTTATGTCACTGGTGCAAGAAAATATGACCACAATACTCCTGCCTTAACTTAGCACAGCTTAATTGGTTCCTTGTCTCATATTGAATCCTGTTTAAGCACCCTTTTGTCTATAAATTATAGAATGGTCTCTGCCCACAATATCTAATGAAACTCTTGGAACATCGCAAATCGACTAGGTCTCTACACTCAAACCTTCAAGACTTGCTGATGCAGCCAAACTGTAAAACTAAAACATGATTATGGTGAAAGGACTTTCTCTATATGCACCCCAAAGATTTGTAACACTATTCCATTGGAAATAAGACAATCCAGTACAGTATTGTCATTGTTTTAAGCAAAAAACTCAAGACCTTTCTTTAACTAAATTTATTAAGAGTAACCCTTTATCATATTTTTAACTTTTAACTTTTATGGTTTTAGGATGACCGGTAATATTGGTAAGCGCCTCAATCATGTCATGCATGTCTGCGTTATACAAATGAACTATGATTATTATTACCATTTTTATTATTGTTATCACAATATTGATGAATATTGTGTCCACCATCTTGCAATAATTATAGTGTGCTTTTTTATAGCTACATGACTCCTTTACAGTATACACACATATACTGTAGGTTTGTGCTGACCAAGATCCATACACATTATGAGCCATTTCCCTTTCGAATCAGGTTATTGTAAGGTCGCCTAGCTTATTGTACTGATAATCAGACTACATTTCTGTGCCTCTCTTTATCAACTGGATTCCCTTGAAGCAACTACATGGCATTCCTACTACTAGTAGAAAATGCTACATTAATTTGGATAAGCCTCTGCTGCCAGCTCTATTAAGAGGATCGTACAGAACAACAACATTCCTTCAGAAAAATATCAAACACCAATTAAAGCACCATCTGTCATCAGTTCTCCCCCAATGAATAAAGGCCACTCAGAACTGTCTGTCATTGTGGTCGAGGACAAGGGAGGAAATTTGATTTTAGACAACTTTGACTTCAAGTTACAGGTGCTTGATGTAACTCAAGAGCATCCTACTTTATTATAATGATTAGATTTCCAGTGTCTTTCACACCCATCTGTTTAAAACCATGTTTTAGGAAACCACTTGTGTTTGGGGCCAGCCACTTTGATCATTATTTAAATTGCAAGTTTGGTGGCTCCTAAATAGCTGCTGTTGCCTGCAAGCATAAGATTTTTTTTTTTTTTTTTTTTTTGCTGTAAGTGACATTAAACCTTCCATTAGACCCATTCAACTAGCAGGGAATATCCATTCTACTGCAAATTTGTTTACAGTGTCTCCCCTAGCTAGACATATCAGCACTCCACCACAAGGCAGAAACACACCCCTCTCAAAAAAATTGCAAAGAATAGAAAAAGTGACTTGTATCAAGTATCCCTTCTCCTGATCAAAATAATAGTCTGGTGTACTGAGCTAGAAACTACCCAACCAACAAACTAAAGATTTCCTCATGTTTAATGTAAAATCTGTCAGGAATGAAAAAAATTAATAGTGCGTGAACAATACCAGAGTAAGGTCAAACACAAGTCTAAGTCAGTACATATCATATCCATAATATTTCCGGTACAAAATTAATAAAGATAAGGATTAAAATTATTCTCAGTTTTTTATGTAGGTGAGTTTACAGGGGTGTACATTCAATGATGCCACCAATTAAAAAAAAAAAAACTCTCTCAAGAGTTCACTTGTGATTTCTTTAGATCTCTTTCCAAAGTTTTTTTTCCAAATTTGATTTACCAAACTTGGATTGCAGCTTATCTACTAGTGCCGCTTATACGTTACAGTATGTTTTATATTAAAAATTTGAGAGAGTTTGGTAAGGTTCTGTCAGATCTTTGTAGTTGCAGAATTCATTTGCTAGCAGTTGTTAATTTTATTACTTTTATGTTGTCACAGAAAAGACAGTCTTTCATAGCTCCTGTTATGACTTTTGACTACCTCAGTGCCACTGACAAAGTTAGTACTTTTGCAGATGATCTGAGATAGCCACCTTCCCAAGAGTGTTATTCTAACTTTAAGATAAATGGCAATATTTATCATTAAAATTTTTTATTCTAATTTAAGGGGTTAGAATATTGCATTTCTATTCTCTCACCAGGCTTTTACATAATAATCTTTTTTTTTTTTTTTTATTATAAAATCGACCATAGAAGTCTTTGTAACGAACAAGGGAATTTCTATCCCTGGTAGCGTGCTATAAGATCATAGTCAATCTGAATGGTCTACATTTCAGTGATTAATTTGAACTGTCCCGGAGCACTAAGATGAGATTCAACCAACAACATAAGATACAAACAAAATCACAAAATTAAACTGTTTTACATATTCCTTATTTGCTAAGGCAATCAAGCTTTGGAACATACATACACACATAATATTATCTTTATCAGATAAGTAGGTTAAAAAATTAGAAATAATAAGCAATAAATGGTTTAAACCTGGGGGTAATAAGTAAAAGTGTAGTGTGATCATCCAGGTGAGTTTAGTCCTGAGAAGGACGACTATTGTCGGTGGTGATGACTGACATTTTGACAACCTGTGGGTTAAGCCATCGTCACAGTCAAGTCAATAATTGTTGTCAGTAGAATGTTCTCAGTCCAGTTCGTGTAAAATTATTGGTCAGTTTTGCTGTGGTGCTATTGGCTGTAAGACTCGAGTGGCGTAAGTCAGTCCTGATTGATCTGTTTTGATCCATCAGTAAAGTTAGGTCTTTCTGTTCGGTTTATTTGTACTGTTAATGAATGAGTCCTTTGTGCGGAGCCAGTAGTAGTTGACAACTGTTCAGGGGAGTCTGTTCTAAGTTAGTAAACCAGTAATGTTTACTAGAGTCAGTCGTTGAAAGTAGTTGGTGCAGTAGGTTAGGTATTGTGCAAAGTCCTAGTCAATATTGTGGTTTGTAAGTCAATGATGTTCAGCCATGTGATTGTTGACATCACCTTTCCTCGTGGCCCGTCTGTGTTCAGTCAGTCTTGTTGCGAGGTTTCTGCCAGTCTCTCCGATGTAGGAAACTTGGCCGATGGTGCAGTTGATCCTATAAATCACTCCCTGTCTGTTCGTCCTTGTTTTTAACGTTGGTTGGTAACTGACATAGTGTGATGATGGGTTTGTGGGCGACTATGGCAAGCCGATTGTAGCAATATTCAATAAAGGAATATTTCAATTCAAAGAGCCTATTTTAGTTCAATTCAACGAATAAATTTTGGTTCAATACGGTATTTTTTGGTTCAGCATCCGATTTTGCATTCAATGCGATTGCTTCTTCAATTCAACAGCACATTTTGCGTTCAACATTTTCCATTTCGTTCAAAGCGATTTATTTTCGTTCAAAGATTCATTGCACAGCGGTTGACCGAAAACTCGTCCCCAGTCTTCATTCTCACTGGCCTTTTACAGCCCGTCATTTTCGCGCCATTTTGAAAAACAACGAGCAGTTGTCAGGTCAGATATTCTTGCTATAAATGGATCGCTCATCTCTTACGAAGTTGTCGTCTTGCCTCGGAGAAGCTTCAGAGCTTGTGAAAAAGATTTTAGACGACGAGAATGCTAGCTCTGAGACATCAAGGCCTGAAACTTCAAGTTCTGGTGGAAATAGATTGTTTTCAGCGTTGCAAAGAGCGAGGTCAATGCTAAACTCGTCACAATCAAGTACATCTGGTCTTGGCAAGCGGTTGAATAAGCGTGAACGATTACGAGCTACCAGTACAGCCAATGACCAAGGGCAGAGGAAAAAGGCTAAGAAGGAAGACATGAAAGCGTTCGAGTTTGTGTTGCTGTCGTTAGGTGAAGAGGACGAAGATGAGTGGACGATATCCGACGACAAGATCATGCTTCGCGGGCTTATTCAACTCTCCCCTGAATCTTCTGAGGCGGATATTCGAAGGAAATTAGGCGAAGTAACGAGGGTTAAATTCCCTACTGTTACAGACTCTGACTTCGTTTTTCTAAGAGCCATTAGAAGAAAGCTGTCGATTCCAGTGACCTGCGATTCATTTGCATACAAGCAGCTGAAAGTTGTGGCTGGCCAAGGTTCCATTTATGTCAAGCTCAAACCAGGCTTTGAATGCCTGTTAGAAAACAACGACAGCAGTTATGATGGTAAGCCATATTGTCGTCGAATAAGTTTGAGAATGAAAAATCAGCAGAAAATACATGTATGCTGTTTTGTAATGAGGGGGTGGTATTATTTATGATTTAGTAATATTAATTCCTTCTGTTCCCCTAAAATCTTTTACCCGAATTTGGTACAATCTTATCTGTTTTGTCCTATATTATGAAAGTGTACTAACTCAAATTATATGTCATAAAAACTAGAGATTACTGAATAATGCAGTTTATTTTTTTTTTATTTGAAAAAGTAGAAAACAGTGATTTATTTACATGTAAGGTAGTGCCTTTCATATTCATGATATTTCACAATCATTGGATTGGTTGGTGAAAGTGATGCCAGCAATCAGCAGCCTTTATTGCAACTCCATGCAGTCTCCACTCTGTCCTGTTACATATTTTCTTGTGAATTAATATAAAGTAACCCCTAACCTGTTAACATGCATTACTAAAATATACATATAATTTCAATGTGTAATTTCAATCCCTTTAGAATTGTTAACTTCATATATGGGCAAGAATGAACAAGTGAATTACAGCCAGTCCATCCGAGTATCAAACAGCCAATCCACCTCCCAAGTTGATAATAGCCAATCTGCCTGCCAAGTTGACAATAGCCAATCCACCCGAGTAGACAACAGCCAATCCACCGCCCGACTTGGCAATAGCCAATCCACTCAAGTATACAACAGCCAATCCACCTCCCAACTTGACAATGGCCAATCCACCCGAGTAAACAACAGCCAATCCACCTCCCAAGTTGACAAAAGCCAATCCACCGTAGTAGACAACAGCCAATTCACCTCACAAGTTGAAAACAGCCAATCCACCCAAGTTGACAACAACCAACCCACCTCCCAAGTTTGTCCGGAAATGGACAAACTTGCTGAAGAAGCTGTGGCCTACTGTCAAGAAAATAACATATCTAATCCAAGTGAGATCTTAAGAGTAATCCAAAACAAGTTTGTCAAAGGACGAAATCTGGAAGTGCAAAGAGTCGAAGAAGTGTCAGAAGGAATGACTCAATACATCTTAGTTAACAGGAAGAGTATTCTCGAAACGGCATTTGAAGAACTAAAAGAGGTTGCTTTATCAGATTTACAAAAAACTCTACAAGTGGATTTTTATGGGGAGGTATGTAAATACCACATTCAGTTATTCCGATATATGGTTTTAGACATCGTATATAAGTCAGTAAAAGCCTGCATAAAAGAACCACTAGTTTTCAAAGTCAGGCTAAAGTGGTGAGAAAGTGGGCAGAGCTGGTTCTTAACTGGTTCTTAAAGACTTATTTGCAAACCAAATGTATTGTCCTTATATATCTGTTATGGTGTTGTTATTACAATGTTTTTTTTTTCATCAGTGATCTATTCATTGGTAAGTTATTACAATGTTCAGTAAGTATCACTGTAGAAGATAGATTGAGTACAAAATTATAATCCTAAATTAGACATTTTTCTTGCATCAGTAAATTTGGTACTCAGACTCAACTCATGATGTAAGTTTTTACAATGACCCAATAAAGCTTATAAGTAAAACCTGTCATATGAGAACCAGTCTACATGTAATTTCTCAGTGGGTGCTTAAATGGTAAATTGTAGCCTGGTGGTTCTTAAGCCACTGGTTATTTTTGCACATTTTTAGTTTATACTATTTTTAAATTACATTATGTCCAGCATTGAAAGTGTGTTATTTTGGTGAAACACAATTATATCAACATAGCATAAAATGATTGACAATTTTTCCAATCTCATTTACAGACCAAACGTGGCACTGTAGCCCATATACAGTGTTGATGCAAACCCTCTCTTGATAGGCATAAATACAATCACTTTTTTACTGTCTATATTTTAGGAAGCTGAGGATTTAGGCGGCCCAAGAAAAGAATTTTTCAGACTGGTTCTTTCCGAAATACATGCCAAATATTTTGAGAAAGGACTGAAAGATCATCTGGCGGAAGATTACCAGATAGTTGGTAAAATACTTGGTAAGAATATAATAATCTTCAAGTCAAGTCAAGTTTTATTGTTATATATGCTTGGCTTTTGTGAAAAAAGATCACCAGCTAGTTTCCAGGTATAACACAGAAAATAAGAAAAATAAAAAACTAAAATTGAGAAAAAAATACCTTCAACAAGTAACTGTTTTCATGTTTCCATGTTTTCATTCCATGAATGCTTATATAAATCTGCCTTTTCTAATAACAGGACTAAGTATCCTCCAAAATGGAAAATTGCCTCGTTTTTTGGAAGAGGAGATCCTGGAAGAAATATTTTCCACTTCATCAAAGCCAAATTCAGCCATCCAACACTTGCAAAATGGTCTCAAATGTCTTGGAATACACCAGGTGGGTGTTGATATACTGTTTTGAGTGTTTGCTGTTGAAAAATACAACTCATTTCCCAGGAACAATAAGCTGGCTCCAAATCTCAAAATACAGGCCAGTCCCTAAAAGAGTCCATTCCCAGGCCTGCAGCCATCCTGGCTTGTTCTTGATACATGCATATGCTACAAACTTCTTTATGAAATTAATTTGAATGACTGTAACTCATTCAAAACTTCCCTAGCTAAACCAAACTTCAATCTTGATGTGTTGTATTTGAAACTATACATTTAGTCCTTTTTGGTAAAAAGCAGTAGATATTTATTCCCTTACAGAATCTGACCTTAAGATAGCGTAAGCTCATTTTTGAAGTGAGGTACATGTAGGACTCTCGATTATTTTAAATCTCCGTTTCTAAAGACACCATGAAGTAATACATGTGTTAAATGAGGTTATTCACATTTTCACAGATTGGATGTCAGTTACCAATGTTCTTGCACTTGTTGAGACGAAACCCAGACCACATGTTAACAGTGAAGCAGCTGGTACATTTGCTTAAGCCTGAATTTAGTCCTGAAGGGTCAAACAGTCGTTCCCTAGAGAACAAAGTGTATGCAGCATTTGTAAAATACATGAGGGAAGTAGCAAGTAAGTATATTAAACCCAACATTCATGACAACATCAATACAGAGAAAGTGTGTGATTCTTTTTACCCCACTAAAGTTTGTCTGTGAACAATGTCTATTGCAAAAATAAATGTATGCTGCAATTTCTTTTCAGGCGGAAGAAGACATGGATTGTCATTATCAAGCATCTTAACATTTGTGACTGGCACAGATGAGGAACCTGTTCTTGGTTTCCACATTCATCCTAGCATTCAATTCCATGAGGTGCAAGATTCTTTTTTGCCCTCTGCAAACACCTGTATTGGCTGTCTCAGGTTGCCAAGGCCAGCACTGAATGTACAGCTACCTGCCACTGAAGTGCTTTTCTCTTTATATGATATGGCATTTCTTAACACATTTTTTGGCACTAAGTAAATAGCAGATTTTATGTCTGGATCATAGTTATTATTTCTGTTTGTTTTTGGTTGTTGGCAACAGCAAATGTTCTGCACAATAATTAATACAAATATTAAAAAATGCCAATTTTAAAAATAGTACTATAGATGTCAAGAGCATAGAACAAGGTATTGTGATATTCATTACAAAGGACTATTAATATATTATATATATCTGACCATATTCGCAAGAATATGCCTGCAGGTTGTCGTCACGGCTGGCTCAGGTGAATGGCCCAGTCCATGGACTATCTGCTGGTGGCTTGCAGGGGGGGCAGGGGAGGGTGTCTCATACGGACACCTCCTCTTATTTAGACTTGGCCATTTGAGTGACAAATAATGAGTTTCTTGAGTTGTTTTAGCTTGCTTGAATGTTCTTTGTTGACATGGCCCCCGGCTAGAGACACCCCTGTCACGTGCTTGCGTGGGGGGGATTCTCCTAGCCACAGGGTGGTCAGAACACTCCTGGCCACTGGGACTGTCCTAGAGTCAACTGCGGACATGCTCTGCGAATACAGTCAGATATACATTGAAGATAATAGGTTTATCACTGAAGAAATTGTTACAGTTTAAGAATTTCAATATACAATGTACATGTACATATTATTTCATGGAGAAACTCAAACTCGGAAAAAAATCACTTTGGAGGTGGAGTGGTCACATTTAGATATGCCTCAATGTGACACTGTGATGTTGTTAGTGAATTCATACATGAAAGGAGCTCAGTCACAGTATTTTGAGTTATGTTGGCCATTAGCAAAATTACCGTTTAACTCAAGGAAACCTGAAAAATAAGACTTCACAAACTTAAGATAGAAAAACACCACCAAGACAATAATATACCACAAAGGAACAAGGATGGTTAAATATAGAAGACTAACACGGATTGCAAACTTTTCAAACTGTTTAGCCGTGACTGTGCTCCTTTAATGTGACAGCATGCTGTTAGTGAGTTCACATGTGCCAGTCAGAACTTGGCTGTGTTGCCATGTAAGACCCACAGACTGGCCCTTGCTCACTATTGAGTCTCCGGTAGTGGTTAGAGCATCCGACTAGATCATGGAGGGTCGGGTTCAAATCCCATCTGGGAGTCAGATTTTTCCCGAGTTTGTGTTTCTCCATGTATTTAAATTCGATATTTGTTCTTTTAATATACACTTTATTTCATCATGTTGTGAAGAACTTTATATAATGACGTCTATGATATTCAAAAAAGTGCTTCTTGCTTTTTATTTTACTCCCTTTCATAAAGTGCTTGCATTAAGCCAATGAAACAAACAGCACTATTTTACTAAGTATTGATAATTAGAAGAAAACAAAAGATTTATTAGGAACTAAAACTATTTAGTACTACATTATGCTCATTGGTTGAGTGGGAGCACTTTGAAAAATTCAAAAAAATAGACTTTTATTGGTGTTTTTATTCTGTGGTACATGTGATTAATAAAGATCGCTTAAATACATGGTAATATTGTCAATTATGCATCTACTGTTGTCTCAGTTACTGTACAAAAAATATGTGGTCAAGAACTGCATTACTGCAAAAGTAAAGACAATTGGATCAATGACTGCAAGACTATAGAAGTACTAGTTTAGGTGGGTATAGTGCTCGCTCTGATTTTAATTTGTTTTGTTTCATCAGCATTTACTCCTACATTAAGCCTAGCTTTTGAGCAACTTGCCCTTCATCAGGGCAAATGGCCAAATTCTACGTTGGAAGGATAAGAATAACAGAATACTAAGGAGGGCACAAAGGAATGAAGTCAAGCATGTGACATAAGATAGACATAAACATAAGACATCCACATAACGCTTAGCATAGGCAAAGTCAATAGGGAAAGTAATCTTGAGGGAACGATGATGATGATTATTATTGTTATCATTAGCAACAAAGAAAAACACCATCCTTTTGTCCCATGAAGTCTCACAGGATACATTTTTCTTTGCTTTCATTCACTTATGCTTGCATCATAGTGAACGCCAGGCTTAATAACACTACAGTCACTCCAGAGTAGTGTGTGTCATATTAAAAAATGGCTTCACAATTGGAATACGCAATTTTTGTCAAGATTTTGTGCTATCATTGACATGAATAATAACACCATTATCATGCCCAATTTTTCTGGTTTTATCCTACTCTGGCCCTGTACATCCCATTTTAGTTAAAAATCTGATAATATGCTGTGCAATCTCACAGGAAAACAGTTTATTACATGTGTAGAACTTGGTTTACCAGGTCCAAGGCATCAATGTAAATGTCTATACCCATGTCTGTAGAGGGTTTCAATGGATCTATTTCCTGTTGAAGAATCTGCAAAACCTCATCCTGTTTGTGTATCTCGATTGGAGATATTGTGACATTATTATCACTGTCATCAAATGGGGAAGGTCCCTGTGGGTAATGGCCATAGAATACCAGGTCATCTGGGTCTTCATCAAGGCCACCATGTGATAGCGGATTATCATCATGAAGCATTCCATTCATCCACATTTGATATGGAGACCAACTGTTAGCAGTTCTGATACCATGATGATTGAAGGTTTCCTGGTACTCATGAAGTGCTTTATTAAGTCTTGGAAGAAATACAAAATGCAGTGCAAACATGTTCGTAGGATCTTCAATGTTTAAATTCCCAGAATCCTCTAAAGCATAGAACAGATAATAAAAATAGTGCATAACGCAACGAAACACATCCCTCCACAGCCGTTCTATTCTTTGGTTGTGGGTGGAAGGCCCAGCAATGAAGCTGCCCCTACCTGCCCCTCTTGCATCTACTATGGCATCGCAAACCAAAACGTTTTCGACCCCCCTGTCAACACGAATGCGGGAAGGCCACAGTCCANTTTCGGTCAACCGCTGTGCAATGAATCTTTGAACGAAAATAAATCGCTTTGAACGAAATGGAAAATGTTGAACGCAAAATGTGCTGTTGAATTGAAGAAGCAATCGCATTGAATGCAAAATCGGATGCTGAACCAAAAAATACCGTATTGAACCAAAATTTATTCGTTGAATTGAACTAAAATAGGCTCTTTGAATTGAAATATTCCTTTATTGAATATTGCTACAATCGGCTTGCCATAGGCGACGCGGATATTAAAGGGTTGTATTAAGATGCACGAGATGTTCTAACACATGCCTTCCAAGTACGGTATGGTTGCTGAAGTCGTAAGAGTTGCGGTGTCATCTGTTTCAGTTAGTAGCAAGTCGGTGATTGTTTCGTCAGATGAAGTTGTCATTGGAGTTGTTCTTTGAAAAATCGCGATAAAGGTATTTGTTTTCGTCAGATAAGCTATCTGCCATGTTGCATGCTAGTTGCGCGCATTGTGTCAGAGTTCTGATAGCTGTGGCTTTGTGTGATGTTGGGTTGTAGGATGACTCATCAAGTAATCTGTCAGTGTGTGTTGGTTTTCTGTAAACTGTTGTCTGTAGTGAGTTATTGTCACGGCTTACCGAAAAATCTAGAAAAGGAAGTTTGCCATTTTCTTCTACTTTTCTGGTAAACTGTATGTCAGTGTTTTGTCCAGTAAGGCGGTGGTGCAATGCGTCGATTTTGTCGTGTCATAAGTTTGTGAATGTGTTGTCAAAGTAGTGTAACCAAGGTGGTATCGTTTGTTGGCAAGTCGATGGGCCCTTTCGACCTGCCCACAAACGATACCGCTTTGGCTACACTACATTGATGACACGTTCACTGCCACACGACAAAATGAAATTGACCCATTCCACCACCACCTTAACAGACAAAACACTGACAAACAGTTTACCAGAAAAGTTGAAGAAAATGGAAAACTTCCTGTTCTAGACTCTCTGGTAGGCCAGGACTACAACTCACTACAGACGACAGTCTACAGGAAACTGACACACACCAACAGATTACCAGACAAGTCATCCTACAACCCTACATCACACAAAGCCACAATTATCAGAATTCTAACATGACACACGCAACTAGTATGAAACATGACAGACACCTTATCTGACGAGAAAAAATACCTTTACCTTGTTCTTTCAAAGTAAAACTACAACAACGACTTCATCCGATGAAACACTCACCAACCTAGTGTACCAAAACAAACTACACCGCAACTCTCACAACTACAGCAACCATACCATACATAAAAGGCATGTCTGAGAACATCTCACACATCTTACAACCCTTCAATATCTGCATTGCCCACAAACCCACCGCCACACTACATCGGATACTAACCAACGTTAAAGACATGGACAAACCAAGGAACAGACAGGGAGCCATTTGTAAGATCAATGTCCCCGACTGCCAAGCCTCCTACATCAGGGAGACTGGTAGAAATCTCGCCACGAGACTGACTGAACACAGACAGGCCACGAGGAAAGGTGATGTCAACAATAACATGGCTGAACATCATCGACTTACAAAACACAATATTGACTGGGACTCTGCACAATGCCTAACCTACAGCACTAACTACTTTCAACCACTGACTCTGGAAAGCTGGTTTACTATCTTAGAACAGACTCCCCTTAACAGACAGCAACTACCCCCGCCTTCATACAAACGATTCATTCACGACATTAACATTGCAATCAAACTGTGAAAAGAATGACCTAACTTTACTGACAGATCAGAACAGACCAATCACAATCAACCCACACCACTTGAGTCTTACAGCCAATAACATCATGACAAAACTGACCAATCATTTTACACGAACTGGGCAAAGAACATTCTGCTGACAACCATTATTCACTTTATTCTGATGATGACTTCTGCAAAGGTTGTCAAAATGTCACTCACCACCACCGAAAACAATCCTTCTCAGGACTACACTCACCCGGACAATCACACTACACTCTCACAGAAATAATATGATTATCCTAAGACTTGCATACTACCTCTCGAGTAGTTTCCTAGGAGCGCTAAGCAAAGATATCGGTTGAAAACTGTTAGGGTCCAGTCTATTCCCTGTTTTAAAGATAGGTACAACTGAAGGTTCTTTCCACTGCTGGGGGAACTTACAACAATCCTTGCTCTTTTTAAAGACCTCAAAAAACCCTTGGATAAGAGATCCCTGTGCCAGTTTAAGATCTTTAGGTGAGAATTGATCTGGTCCAAGTAATGTTAGTAATATATTGCCACGACAGTCCAAATATCAACAAGTTTAAACCTAATTTGAGGAATGAAATGAATATTTACTGAATGGACATTCTATACCAAGCTCTATATATATACATTCTATATTAGGCTCACAATTTCCAAAGAAAACAGAGAAATTGTTATCCAATATGACGGCATTGAGTGTAAACTCTTGTTAGTAGACATTACTAACATGATGACTTTAGATTTCTTTTTAAAAAATAAAAACCAGGACATTCAATTTAAATATTCCCATGTTAACATTTTCCAATGTTACTGTTATTGCTAGTACAAGGATTATTAACACTGAATCATGTATTTTAATCATGAGCATTTAGTACTTTACCTTTGCACTGTTAGATAAAAATTTTGTACAATACCATTAGATAATTACATAATTATGTGCAAGTTTAAATTTTTTTAAAGATAATTATACCATTTTCAAACCAAACAGAGAAGTTGTAATCTATTTGCTGACACTGAGTTTAAATTCTTGTCAATACAGAAATTAAATATTATCAATATCTTTAACTTCAATATCTTACCGAAAAAAAAAAAAGGAGAACATTCAATTTAGACATTACCCTGTTGACATTTTCCAATGTTACTGTTAATCCCAATATAATGATTGTCTACAGCATGTCCATGATGAACATTTAGTACTATGTTTTCAGTGTTAGTTTAAACTGGAACAATAGAAAAATAGTGGGTGTGTACAAGTTTGATTTGTTATCAACTAAACAATACAGTTTTGAAACCAAACAGAGAAATTATCATCCAATATGATGACATTAAGTTTAAATCTTGTCAGTAGAGTGATGAAATTACCAATATCAAGAGCTTTGGTTTCTAAACAAAACCTAGTAATTGCATAATTTGTAATGGCATCTTGTCATGTTTTGAGAAGCGTCATACTTTTTCTAATATTTTACATCTTCATCAAGCCTCATTAACTAACTCAAAATACAGACGAAACTGGGCTTAACATCTCGGACAATCAATTATCATCCTTGCAGATTCTACATCACCAACAACCAGGTAACCTCAACTTTTAAGGAATTACAGCCGAAAATGCCGAGATGATCGACAAGCCTTAGCTCACCCACTCTACTTCGACCTCAAAGCAGCTTCAAATTACCATCTTTTTTTGTAAAACACATCCTACTAGCTGAATTTTGCTCATCGTTATTTCTACTGTCTTGCGGCAACATTATATCAAATCTTGGTCCTAACGGCACAGCTCCATGCACTCCTCTTCGAGGCCTGAACACTCGTTTGACGCAAAAAAGAGGAATTGTGATTGCCCATCTTAACGTCAGAGGTCTTCATTCCTCTGTGGATGAATTAAGGAT